AGACCCGGGACCCGAGGGCCCGAGACCCGAGAGCCCGAGAGACGGGACCCGAGAACCCGACGCCCGAGACCCGGGACCCGAGAGCCCGAGAGACGGGACCCGAGAGCCCGAGAGACGGGACCCGAGGACCCGACGCCCCAGACGCGGGACCCGAGGGTCCGAGAGCCCGAGAGCCCAAAAGCCCGAGACCCGGGACCCGAGGGCCCGAGACCCGAGAGCCCGAGAAACGGGACCCGAGACCCAGGACCCGAGGGCCCGAGACCCCAGAGCCCGAGAGCCGGGACCCGAGGACCCGACGTCCGAGAGCCCGAGACCCGACGCCCGAGGGCCCGAGAAACGGGACCCGAGGACCCGACGCCCGAGAAACGGGACCCGAGGACCCGACGCCCCAGATCCGGGGCACGAGGACACGGGACCCGGCACCCGAGGACCGCAGCGACCTGCCCGCCAGCGCCGCCCGCCTCGCCGGTCCAGACGGCGGAGCCACCAGGTTATGACAGCGGCCGCAGCCTGTGTGCTCCACTAGTGTCACTCCCGAGTGCGCCCTCGTCACAGCGGTTAGCGGTCATCAGAGAAAATGGGTGGAATGTGGGCCCTGTATTTCGTGAGCGTCATCGTTTTGAGACCCTCGATGCTCACAGTATCGGTGGAGGTGTATACTATAGGTGCAGATCTCAGGACCGTGTAAAAACAGGTGTCATCACCGGTAATGTGATTTGAAGCTTAATATATTTATTTATTTAAACAAGTTCCCCAATAATCTAAAAATGAACTTAGATTTGGTGCAAAAGAAAATATAGTATTGAGGAGTGAAATGATTAAATTCATGCAGTTTGTTGGATCTTTAGGAAGAAGTCATTAGTCTACCTGTCAGCCTCTATATTTACAGAGATTTTATATAATTTAATTTTTCTGTGCTCATTATAGAATGTTGCGTTTAATGAATTAATGTGGTAGTATATTTGCAATGTAGACATATAAAAGACTTTTAAGGAGGTAGTAGAAATCGTATATATATATTTCAATTAAAGAGAGGGGATGTGTTATGCTTGGAAAGAGGTCATCATCGTTCTATTGTATTGTTTTGTGACTATTTTAGCATATTTCTGTTCTCTCGTTTTAGATAAACTAGTGCTCATTGAAGAAAATTATCTTAAAAAGCCTATGAGAAATTAAAATTAGGCATAATGTCACTAAAGATAATCACTATTAACATTTTGGTGTATTTCTCCAATTTTATACATTTCCAAGATTGATCAAAAGGATTTATATATAAAAGTTGATCAAAAGTTTTTATAAGCATTTTCTCATATTAAAAATTCTTCATATACATCACTTATAGAAGTTGCATAGTATTCAAAGGTATGGAGGTTATCATATTTACTAGCTATCTCCTTATTATTGATAAACATTTTTGCTCATGAATCTTTGCATGTCTGTTAATCTTATAATTTTTTATTATGTCCTTAGTTTGGGTAAGTTTTCAAATCTTAGTTATATTTCTTTTGTAAATTACCTGCTCAATTCCACTTATCTATAAATGTCTTAGTGCTATTTTTATTTATATTTATATTAGAAATGTTAACCATATCACATTTTCGAATACTTTTCCAATTTTTCTTACAACCATTTGACTTTGTGTGAAAATATTTTAGATTTTTATGCAGTCAGTTGAGTTTGTAATTGATTCCATTGCTTTCAGGCTTGAAAATTTCTTCCCACAGAAGGAATCTACTTCTGTTTCTTTCTCTCTTTTTTTTTTTAAAGTTTAACCTTTACTATTTAACCCATTAATCTATCTAGAATCGATATTAATCTATCACGAGATTGTTAATGGATTTCTCTGACTTCATACCAAATAGCTACTGAAGAATAAACAAAGGTCCACCCTGAGTTTTAAGAGTGGAAACTGTTAGAAGCAGATTTGTTTTAAACCACTGTAGACATGAGAAATTGAGCTGACACAAATGCCAGAAATTGTATTAGTTGTTTTTTTTCTTATAGTGTTAAAGAATGAAGCAACTTAAAAAGGACTTACCACTAAGCAGGAAAAGAACTTTTACATACCTGAGCAATTTTATTGTGAAGTCGCTTGATCTAAGTGTTTCAGAATAAGTACACTTTATAGACTATCTCCAATACTGTCTTTTATGAATTTTCATATTTATATAAAACATTTCTCAAAACCCTTCATGTTCACATAGAGGTTTATGTGTCAAAAAGGTAAAGATAGGCTTTGTAGTAAAACAATCTGACATCGAGAGCTTTAGCCTCTTAACACAGAGATGGAGAAAGACAGCGGAGGCCTGCGGTCAGAGCAGGAGGACAAAGCACACTCCAGGCCTTTCATGTCAGGTGAGCTGCTGGTCACCTGAGGCTCTCCCTGTGTTATTTTAGGTCTCCAAAGTGCGTGCACAAACTCCAGCAGACAGTCGGGACTGGGAAATAAATATAATAACTTGTATTTTTATTTAATTTTATCTAATCTTTTATAACATTTTTTAGGGGAGTATAGTACAGGGTGCAGTAGAACATGCATGCAACTATCATGGGCTGAAACTTGTCGCCTCAAAATCCGTATGTTGAGGCCCTAACCCCCAGCACCTCAGAAGGTGACTGTATTTGGAAAAAGGGCCTTTCCAGGGGTGATTATGTTAAAAGGAGGCCTTTGGGGTGGGTCCTAATGCAATCCAACTGGTGTCCTTATAAAAAGTGGAAATTTGGGGGCCGGCCCCGTGGCTTAGCGGTTAAGTGTGCGTTCTCCGCTACTGGTGGCCCAGGTTCGGATCCTGGGCACGCTGGGATGCACCGCTTCTCCGGCCATGCTGAGGCCGCGTCCCACATACAGCAACTGGAAGGATGTGCAACTATGACATACAACTATCATACTGGGGCTTTGGGGAAAAAAGGAGGAGGATTGGCAATAGATGTTAGCTCAGAGCCAGTCTTCCTCAGCAAAAAGAGAAGGATTAGCACGGATGTTAGCTCAGGGCTGATCTTCCTCACAAAAAAAAAAAAAGTAAAAAGCGGAAATTTGGACACTCTGAGACACTAGGGGCGAATGCCCACAGAAAAGAGACCGCGTGAAGACACAGGGAGGAGGCCGTCCGTAAGCCAAGGAGAAAGGTTTCAGAAGAAACCAACCCTGCCGACACCTTATCTTGGTCTTCCAGACTTCAGAAGTCGGAGGAAATAAATGTCTGTTGTTTAAGCCACCTGGTCTGTGGTACTTTGTTATGGCGCCCCTGGTGAACTGATAGGATAATTCAAATGTTAATGTATACTAAAAATGTTTACTGAAAAGGGTGATTATGAAAATTTGGAATAGCATAGCATATAGAACTGAGTATCAAATAAAATATTATCATAGTAAAAGAGCAGTTAGCAAAGATCAGCTGCAAACATCATCACATATTCTATAGGTGAATGTCTCTGGGCTCTTCACAGGAAGTTTTACATATTAAGTGAATTCTAGTCCTTTATTTGGCACTTATAAGAGCATTTAATTTTAAACTTACAGAAAACATGGCACTTAATTTTTATAAAATTATTAATTTGCTTCCCCAATTATAAAAGTAAGCCAAATTACAAAAGACTAGTTTGAGGGCCGGCCCCGTGGCTTAGCGGTTAAGTGCGTGCGCTCTGATGCTGGCGGCCCGGGTTCGGATCCCGGGCGTGCACAGACCCAGCGCTTCTCCCGCCATGCTGAGGCCAAGTCCCACATACAGCAACTAGAAGGATGTGCAACTATGACATACAACTATCTACTGGGGCTTTGGGGGAAAAAAAATAAATAAATAAAAATTAAAGACTAGTTTGAAAAATTGAGGAAAACGCACAATCAGTAACTAAAAAATTCACTATTAGCATTTTGCAACGTTTCTTTCTAGTGTTGCTTCCACTCATAGTTTTATACTTGAAATCACTTACATACAATATCGTATATATGTTACATATGCTTTCACACAGAAAGGCATATAGAATTATTTTTAAATGAGTAAAAATATGTCTTTGGGTCAGTAGCTTTAGTCTAACAAAAGACAGACATTGAATCATCTAGAATCTTAAAGTGATATGATGTTATTTTTAACTTTCCCACATATATAAAAACTTGAGCCTAGAAAAAAGTTTTTCATGTAAAATAAAAAATTCATTATTTCAATCTATTGACTTAAAATGTCTTTCAATAATCATATTTAAAAAATCCTTTCCAGGGCCGGCCCTGTGGCTTGGTGGTTAAGTGCGCGCGCTGCGATGCTGGCGGCCCGGGTTCGGATCCCAGGTGCGCATTGAGGCACCACTTCTCTGTCCAGCCTGAGGCCGAGTCCCACATACAGCAACTAGAAGGGTGTGCAGCTGTGACATACAACTATCTACTGGGGCTTTGGGGGCAAAAAATAAATAAAATCTTTAAAAAAAAAAAAAAATCCTTTCCTCTTTTATTACCCAAAAGAAATCACTTAAGTTTATCAAATGAAAAGTAAAACAGCATACTGATATAAATTATTTTTATTGTGTGAAAAATGTCATAATTCATGATGATTAAGAATAAAAATGCAGCATATAACAAAATAGGCATTTACTTGTTAAAAGCCACCTAGATTTACAAAATGTCTTTTAGAATATTTTTAGAATGCTTTAAGATAACAAATTAATTTTTTGAGAGATATATATATAAAACATTCCACTTTGTCATATATTTTAAACATTTTTATTAAATGGACTCAGTAATTATTGTACACTGCAGTGCAGTAATCACTGGTAGGAAAATAAATTTTAAAAACATATTTATTCTCAAACTAGATGAATATTAAGAAGATGACAAAAGTATGTTTAATTTTTAAAAAATGAATAAATGTAAATGTTACAAAAAGAACCAACAAGATGTGCAAACAAGTTTTTTCTCTAAACTCTAGTTCAAAATTTACATTCTGTCTCCTTGTGTTGTTTTTCCTTACATTTCAGCCACCTATCAAATTCAGGTTGTTATGAATTTTATATCTGAAGGAGGATGCTTGTTACTCAGTGTGCTAGGTAGGTCCATGTACAAAACTCCAAGAAACCACGTATGATGCTGACTAGGGTAGTTAAGTGACCTGATTAATTAAAGTTGAATGAGTTAAAAGATGTGAATAAGATGTGACGCTCTGAAGTAAAATTCTAAAAGTAAATGATCACATTAAACTGCCTTAGATGTACCTATCCTGTTACTGTCAGATTCCAGGGTGCGTCTGTGGTCGGTACAAGGTAGCAAATGGCCGATTTCAACACGGTGATACAGGAACCACACTGCGTATCGTATTTTCTCCTTGATATAAATGTATGCTTTCAACTAAATGCAACATTATGAATCTATTTCTCAAAATATTAACTCTGAAAGTTTGTCTAAATGCCAAATGAATACAGAATCCTGGAGGATGCCCTTCTTCAGTGCAAGAGAAGTAATATTTTATGCTGAAATTATTTCTTTATAAACGTAATTGTAAACCAACATTTTTATTCTTACTGTAGTACCCAAGCATCTCTCGGTTGTAAAACACATGTCTCTGGACCTACAGAAACTTTCCAGTCTTTTTGCCTTTAATTGCAAGGCACAAAAGGATCAGAATGACCTGAAGTCACCGCAGCTTCTGAGACAACAGGGAGTCACAGGAGCTCTTGGACCCAAAAGGTCCAACCTTGAAAGAGGTGTCTATTGGGACTTTTAATAATATTTCACATAACATTTTTATTAATTTAAAAAGCATTTAGGTCAAAAGGTATTTCAAGTCTCTTTCATTCATTGGGATCATCACCAAAGAAAACAACAAAAAATTGAACTCTGTCCTTGGGTAGTGCTGTCAAGTAACATAATTTGGTAGAATAAAGATCTGAGAATCTATTTTAAAAAGGTATTATTTTAAAATTAAGTGCAATTAGGACGTACACTTAGAGAAAAATACTATTATAAAACATACCTCAAACCATATAAATATATCATGTTTGTAAAGTTCATGTTTGTCAAGTAAATCAACTCCATTTTCCAGACAGTTTAAACAAAGCATCTATAGAAAAGTGCACAGTCAATATCATAGTAATTAAAATTCTTAAACAAAAGTTTCAGAAAAATATAAAAAGTTAAAAATTTAGGTTATAAATTCCCAAGAGTTCCCCTTCCATGCACATGTATCTTACAAAAATGTTTAAGATACAGAAACAGAGACTATTAGACAAACAGTAAAGAAAGTGTGCAGAGTCCATTGGCTCTTCTGAAGAGGTTTTTCCCTCAGGAACATGCCAGTGAGTGGGATGCATAGACCAGGGTCGATGCTAACTTTCGCTGACTTAATGCTCATCCCATCTGCTGGTCCTTTTCCTTCCATTTTTTTTTCAGCCATGAAGAACACGGATAAGTAATGATCAGGTCAGTCGTCTTGGGCTATTAATCTCCTCACGGGAGTTGCTATGGTCATCCTGCCCAGTCATCAGTGTTCAGGGTTTTTCTTCTTTGAGGAAGAAGGTCCTGCAGTTCTTGCTGGTACTGAGAGTGCTCATCCACGTGACTTGGTTATGAGATCACATCGTGAGCATCACTGTTGGGTCTCTGTCGCACGGCCACGGGAGGCAGTGGCTTCCCATAGAAATCTACATAAAGAAGGGATACCAAAAACACAAAACAGTTATGGTAAATCAAGATTTTTGACACAATTCATTATTTTCCAACCAATGCCTTTAAAAGAGTAAGACACAGACTTGACAAGTGAGGTGATGGGTGGGGAGAATAGAAAAAAAAATCAAAATCCAAGAAAACTTCAATGAATTTCAAAACACAACCACTACAGTAAATTCCTAGCTCTACATTATCAATTAATCTCTACTTGATTTAATAAAAAGCTGCACCTAATGTATATATTATTATTTTTATTTTTATTTTTTTTGCCAATCTTCCACTATTTGTATGTGGGTTGCCGTCTCAGAATGGCCGCTGACAAGTGGTGTAGGTCTGCGTCCAGGAACCGAACCCAGGCCTCCAAAGCAGAGGGTGCTGAACTTAACCACTACACCACGTGGCCAGCCCCTATATTGTTATTTTTTATTCCAAATACATGTTCACATTAGAACTGAACAAATAACAAATATTCAGAATCTAGGGATCCTGTTGCCAAAGCCTTGATAAGCCCTAACAATCCATGTTCTTATCCAATGGCTATTACTTCTAGGTATTTTGGGAGAATTAATTAATAATCTTAGTGTTCTGGTAAGTAGGAATCTTTTACAACGATGCTTCAATATAGTTCAGTGATTTAGGATATATCTGATACAAAAAAGTCTACTTTGGGGCCGGCCCTGTGGCTTGGTGGTTAAGTGCGCGCGCTGCGATGCTGGTGGCCTGGGTTCGGATCCCGGGTGCGCATCGAGGCACCGCTTCTCCGTTCATCCTGAGGCCGAGTCCCACATACAGCAACTAGAGGGATGTGCAGCTACGACATACAACTATCCACTGGGGCTTTGGGGGGAAAAAATAAATAAAATCTTTTAAAAAAAAAAAAAAGTCTACTTTGTACTTCATAATAAGTTCCTATTCCTTAATTATCATAAATTGGCGTATAAATTTAATAGCATATGTAAACCTTCAATATGTAATTATTTTATGCCCTGCTACCTTAAAATTATTCTAGAAGCACAGGTGTTCAGGATCACTTGAAATAACTATATTGAAAACATATTAGGGGTCCGTTTCCAGTTCCGCAGGTGTCGAGAGCTTAGCTAAGCTATTCCGTGGTATTGCTGCCCTGGGATCCATCTTGTTTGGCCTGTGGCCTGTGGGGCCTTATGCAGATGCTAGCGCCTCATGCAGGCACATGCCTAGATAACAGCCTGCAGTCACAGGTACACATAAGTTCCTGACATGACTTTCACAGGGGTCCCTGTGACCAACAGTCTCCCTTGCCTTCCAGGGCCTTCCCTTAGATAAGACCCCCATGGGTTTAACAAAACTCCACTTTTTTTCATTTGAATTGACCAATCTGGGCTTAGTCTGGGAACCCCAATGCACTCCACCCACAGACTCTAATAAAGGCATGTGGCTCAGGTCCTAAAGCTCTCTGCCTGCACCACCTTGACCTCCCCCTGTAGAACCCTCAAGGCACGCCACGTACTTCCTCTAGGGCCTGTGAGTAGTAAACTTCTTTATTTCAGTTTCTGCTGTGGTCTTTCCGGAACTGAAGCCTGCCATCCAACACCCAGGGGCTCTAATAACAAACGTCAATTTAAGTCATAACAGCCTGCAAGGAGCTTGCAAGTCCCCACTCCACCCTGACAAGAAGTAAAAAGCTGAACAGACTGAAGAATCAACTCTTCTCAGATCCATATGAGAGAGGACGAAACGGGGCAAACCACTGCCCCCAGGATTGGAGAGACAGGCAAAACAGGGCGTCTCAGTTTACTGGAGCCAACATTCAAGAATGGAGCTGCCGAGGGAACCAGGGCCAGGCAGGAACCCTGAACCGAGACTGACGAAGTGCTGGAGGCTCAGCGTGCACCAGTCTGAGAGTTAAAAACTCCAGGGAGATGAAGTCCTTGGAGGACCCCCACGGTACTGTGAGGTTTATCTCCAGGAGCTTGAACAAATTCCCATGCTAAATATTGGAGAAAAATTCCCTCCTGCCTCTGGCAGGGAAGGGTGAAGGCACCACTCTGAAACACCCAAGCACACGCTGTTCTTTGAACGAGGCCTGCCCTCAGGGGAAACTAGTTACCAGAGTCTCGCCTGCTGGGGTATCATGAGAGCCTAACTGACCTGAGGAAGTGAAAGACCAACTCCAGCTGGCTCTGGACATCCTGTCGCACCTAATGCAGGAGAAAAAACCTGAAACTCTTGTGAAGTTCACAGTCCAGAGGCTCACTAAAGATGGAGACTTAATCACAGGATTCTAGAAGGCTTCCCCTTCCCCCACAGGTCACCACCACGTCACTAAAGGCCTATTACAGCAATTCCTTTTACCTGGTACATCATGTCAGGCTATCGAGAAAAAGTTACAAGGCACATCATACCAAAAGGCAAAAAACACAATTGAGGAGAGAGAGCAAGCATCAGAACCAGACATGGCAGGGGGCTTGGAATTATCAGCTCAGGAATTTAAAACAACTAGCACTACTATGCAAAGGGCTCTAACAGATAAAGTAGACAGCATACAGTGTAAGCAGAGAGATGGAAATCCTAAGAAAGAACCAAAAAGAAACACTAGAGATAAAACATACTGTAACAGAAATGAAGAATGCCTTTCATGGGCTCATTAGACTGGACATGGCTAAGGAAAGAACCTCTGAGCTAGAGGGCATATCAAAAGAGACCTCGAAAACTGAAAAGCAAAGAGAACAAAGACAAAAGAAAACAGAACAGAACATCCAAAGACTGTGCGGCAACTACAAAAGGTGTAAAGTACACATAGTGGGAACACCAGAAGGAGAAGAGAAACAGAAAGGACAGAGGCCGTATTTGATGCAATAATGACTGAGAATTTCCCCAAATTAATGTCAGACACCAAACTACAGACCCAGGAAACTCAGAGAACACTGAGCAGGATAAATGCCCAAAAAAACACATCTAGGCACATCATTTTCAACTTAGAAAAAATCAAAGAAAAGAAAAAATCCTGAAAACAGCCAGAGGAAAAAAACACCTTTCCGATAAAGGAACAAAGATAAGAATTACAGCCAACTTCTCCTCAGAAATCATAGAAGCAAGAAGAAAGCGGAGTAAAATATTTAAAGTTTTTAGAGAAAAAACCCCACCAACCTAGAATTCTGTACCCTGCAAAAAAATTATCCTTCAAAAGTAAAAGAGAAATAAAAACTTTCTCAGACAAACAAAAATTGAGGGAATTGGTTGCCAGTAGACCTGCCTTGCCAGAAATGTTAAAAGAAGTTCTTTAGAGAGAAAGAAAATGATATAGGCAAGAAACTCAGATCTACATAAAGAAAGAAAAAGTATCAAAGAAGAAATAAGTAAAAGTAAATGAAAACTTATTTTTCTTATTCTTAATTATCTAACAGATAACTGTTCAAAATACTAATAGCAATAATGTATTAGATTACGCATGCTTATGTATATACCTTACGTATGCATGTATATATACATATATATGTCTGCAGATGCTTACAGCTACGTGAAATGAATGACAACAAGGAAGGGGCAAAAGGAAGGAATTAGGATAATTTGGTTATTAGAGGTACTTGCTCTGCCCGTTAAGTCGTAGAGTGTTATTTGAAAGTGGACTTGCATTAGTTGTAAATGTATATTGCAAACTCTAGGGCAGCCACTAAAAAAAGTAAAAAAAAAATTAGTATAACTGATATGCTAATAAAGAAGAGAAAATAGAATCATATAAAATGCTCAATTAAAACCACAAAAGGCAAAAAAAGAGGAGAAGACAGAAATAGAAACAAAGAACAAGGGCAACAAATAGAAAACAGTAATGGATAAGGTAGATATGATCCAGCCACACCAACAATCACTCTGAATGCCCACGGTCCAAATGCAACAATTAACAGACAGATTGTCAGAGTGGATCAAAAAACATGACCCAACTGTATGTTGTCTACAAGAAAACCACTTTAAATATAAAAATCTATTAGGAGAAAATGATTTTTCAAGCAGCTATAAATTCAAAGCAACTCCTAAGGATGCAAGCCCTAACAAATCTTAACATAATGGTGTGACACAATGAGTTAAAGGCATGGATTTCAAAGCTGGACAGACCTAAGGTTCAAATCCCGATGCTGCCACTTATTACCTGTGTGACCCTTAGGTATAGGTTTCTCATGCACAAAATGGGAATATCACTGCCCCTGTTACAAGGTTATTGGGAGAATTAAAATGAAATAACATACCTAAAGTGCTTAGCAATACGCCAGGCACATGGTACACACAGTTATTATCATTGCTATAATTAAAATTATAACAGAGACAATTATTTTGATAAATTTAAAGTATGTCTTTTCTCTTTTCTAATTTCTTATTTTCAAAATTAATGAGAATTTTAACACACAACAGAACTCACAATTAAACCAGAGCGAATATAGTGTCTAATATGTTTTACTTCTGGAATTTAAAAGTACCCTCCTAAAACGATAAATCAAATACACATGGCAAGAAGTTTCTTTTTCCCTTCCAAGAAATTATTTTATTTTTGCAGTTGATTTTGTATTATTTCTTTGCCAGAAAATGAAATCATTCTATACAAATTTCTTATTGCCTTACCTGTAGGGGATATAAGTTGATTTTAGTGACAACCGAAAGGACCAACTTAATTGCTAACACATTTTTATAAAGTGCTTCAAACTTTTTAACGTGAAACATTGAAGAGTAGTAAAACGACATACAAAATTTTATCTTCATTCCTATTTTAAGATTTAAAAATATTCTTTAGTTTGTGCACATGGTATTTTTGGCTAACAGAATCTCTGATTTATTTCTCATAATGCATAATAACATAACACGTTGATGAAGTACAATTCAGAATGTTTTCTGAGTGCATCCATCTTACCTGCTACACCAAGCAAGCTGTACAGACAATAAAAGCAATTAGAAAAGTTGACTCAAATTGCTATCAAGTAAATGTCTGTAATCAAAGAACAAGTAAGAATCTGCCTTAAAAATCCTAACCTGACTATAACAAATTGTTTTTTATCTCAGTAAATTTTCAGTGCCAAACCAATTGCAGTTAACTTTTAACTCCCTTCCCTAGAGCCACATGTATTGTCTACTTGCCATCAACCAAATACAAAGAAATTTGCACAAAGTCAGGGAAGAGAAGAGAATGCAATTATAAAATTGGCATCTCCCAGCATCTCAGATGAAGATCTCACCATAAACCCTGAAAACTAATTTAAGCTTTTTTATTAAAATTTTTAATTTATTATACCCACTTTCTTCCCCATTAGTGAAAGCAGAGTTGATCATACATTTTTTTTTAACCCAGGTTAGATACACTTTGACTTGAAAATATCTTTATTACTTTTTCCCATAAATTTAAAACTTGTGAAGTTAGTGTTTTCTGCTCTGGGAAGCTAAATTTATTGATACACATTGAAAATTAACTGAAGTATTAGAATATGGTGGTCTTAAACTTAACTAATTTATTATAATTCTTTCCCAGGAGTTCTAATTTAAAAACAAACACAGGGAAATGAGGAAAAACAAAACAAAACCACCACCTTCGCAGTCCATTTTCAACATTTTTTTCCACTTGCCCTTGACTATAATGTCTCCCTGGGAAGCCACCATCAGTTCTTGCTCCTCATTCTACATACTCTCCCTCAGAAACAGGAAACTAACATTCCCTCAACTGCACTCATTCAGTAAACAATTACAGAGCATCTCTTGTGCGCAAAGCATTCCTATTGTGTGACGACAGCTGAAAAATAATCTACCTCCGTACACTGCCACCCACCCGGTCCTTCTTTCCTCCTGAGCTCCAGGTGTTCCCTGGGCTGGAAGACAGTCGTTTCCAAATAGATAAGCCACAGACACCTCCCAAGCAGGTCCCCTTCCCCTCCTGGGTTTTCAGTCTTAGAGACAGCACCAACCTTCCAGTCCCTTGAGCCAAATAACCCTCTATTCCTCTCTCCCTCAGGCCACAAATCCATTCTTCAAATATCACGTATCATAACTGTGACAACGTTCCCCGCATACATTTGTCACTCTCCATTCCAGTTCCCATTTCTCACTTCTCACTCTGACTACTGAAACAGCGTCCTGGCCAGGGTCCTTACCCCAGGTGTGGCCACCATCAAGTCTGTACTTTATATTGTGACAAAAATCATTTTCCTAAACAACAAATCTAGTAACACTATTTCCCTACAAAAATGTACAGTCTCTCCGGTAAAATCAGAGTGAGTGCAGGCATCTTGATGCACACGTGAAGCCCTTCACCACCTGGCCCTAAGCCACAGTTCCAGGTTTAGCACTCTCCAACCTTAAATTCCCTCCTCCTTACCCACTCTACTCACGTGAACCTAAGCTCCGCTCACCAGGAACTTGCTGCTCTTTTCCAAATAAGCATGCCCTTTCCCACCTCTCCACCTGCGAAGAGTCTGTTTCTTCTGCTTACTGACCCTTCTCATTCCTCAAAGGTCCAGTTCTAATAACACTTTCACTGACTGTCCATTTGGTCTGTGCACAGCACTCCAATTCTACACCACAGAACTTATTACCACATGCTGTGAACTGTCATATATGTTAAAGGAGGCTGAAGTACTGTCTTCTCTACTAGACTAGGATCCCCAGAAAGCCAGAATTTATGTCTTGTTTATCTTGGTGTCACCGATGTTTTAGGTAGTGTCAAATACAAAATACTTGCTTGTTGGATGCCTAATTCAGTAAGAGAAAAAATATTTGTCATATGAGAAATTAGTATCTTTCCATATATGCTTGTATATACATAAATACACACATATAGTAACATTACCTAATTTTTTCTAACACCACAGTCAATATTTAAACTGGTAATATATTCTAACATACATAATTTCAGAGAATAATAAAACAGGAACTAACATATAGTCAATAAAAACATCATGATGTAAAGTCAGTCAAACCAAACAGAGATATGATTTCACTGTAATTCTGACAGTCTAAGGACAGACTTTTCTGTCTTTGGAACTGAAAAAAAACCTTTAATTTTCATTAATGATTATGAAGAAATATTTGTCACTGACCTACAGTATTCTGAAAAAGGAAACAGCACATTTATATTTATATACTTTTTGAATAAAAATATTTTATACAGTTTGACATTTTTATACATTTGCAAATTTTATACATTTGCAATTTGACATAATTGCAAATTATATGGTAATGCTTTTCTAAAGATTAAACTTCTTTTTCTAGTAAATAGGTCTCCTTAGGAAACCAAGTTCTAGATTATGTAAACAGAGCCATTACAAAGGGAACTGGATGTCCTTGATGGAGAAGTTGATTAAGCTACAATATATACACAATCATCCTCTGCATTCTAGAAATATTTTATCGAGAGAATTTGGGCTGAGGGTCTGAAGTCAGCCCTTCTGGCTGCTGGATAAGGCAGTTCTCTCCCCTCTGTCCATTCTCCAGTTTTCCAGTTGTGGGTGTCCACTGCCATATACTGGCTGGACTATACCTTATGTTAACCTTATCCAAAGAGAATTGTTTTCTGGAGTCAATAAAGCCTTTAGTAACTTTCTTTCTATTTGGCTGAACTTTATGCTTTACTGGTTTGGTCTCTGATTCTACAAATTGTGTTGATCTTTACTTCATTTTAATATTCAGCAGCTGGGTGTCTTATTAGACGTGGAGAAAGAACAACATGTGGCATTATCATTGAGAATATTGAGCATATATAGGACAATGTAGTTTTTAATACAATAACTGTAATGTCTCATATTTAATTTAAATAGCTTTAAAACCTTTCCCTTTTCCCAACTATTAACATAAATATATAATGGATAAACACAAGCTATGATTATTTTCACCCTTGTATTCTAAGGTAAACATCAAATTATATAGAGGCAAAGGGCACTTAAGAATAAAAAAACTAAATAAAATGGAAAAAAGTTAAGTATAATGAAAAGGATGGCTGTGGATTTGAAAGGCCTCCAAAAATAAAAGTTTGCTGAAGTAATGAGGTAAAGAAAAGTGGATGCAATGTGCATAGATATTGGAAACTGATCCTTTTGCATTACCATTATGACGTGTTTCACCAAGAAGCTCGAGTTTTGGAAGTCTAGTGACTTTGGGGGTTCCCCAGCCAACTAAAGAAAAAGAAAAACATTTTAAAACACTGTTAAACAATGTCTCTGTAGGTCTGTTGAGAGGGTCTCCCCCACAACAGGAATGTATATAACATTCGATGTCAAGTCACGTATCTACTAAACGACACAGTACTGAATAGCCGTCAACCTATTTTAAATGGCTTCTATTTAAAAATTTAATTATAGGCTGGTAACATCTGCTTTAAGTTTTTATTTACCTTTAGTTAAAAATATAAGCATCTTCACCATCATAAATAACCTTAGGCTACTAATCCCTAGCAGAAGCTAAAAGAAATACTCACTTATTAAATAGAACACTAGAAATGAATCTTAAAATAATTCCAAAGAAAAGGTTATCATCTAATGCCTCCTGGCAGGGCTGAAAGGACACTATAAACAGACACAGATGTTTACTGAGCATCCAGAGTATGTGAGGTACTATGCCCAGTGCTGAAAAATTACTCACACTGACTGTGGAGTTAGAATGTCCCAGTACTTTTCATGCCATATTCCATTTAATCCTCATAACAACTTAAAAGGTCGGTACACATTTTGGAAATATAATGGGAAAACTGACACATCTTGGTTTCAAATGTTAACTTTTAGGATGAAAGATCCACTTTTTTTAAAAGCTCATATTAGCCATCCATTCATTAAACTTAAATTCCTTGTAGCAATCTGGGTACTGACATGTCAAACAGGACTTGAATTCATTCTTGGGTAAGATTTTCTTAAGTTTTTCTTATTTTTTTACTTTTATAAAACAATTTTTCTGATTAAAAAAAGCAATGGATACTTATGTAGATAAATTTTGAACAAAGTAGACAGAGCAAAGAATTCTCTTTTCTACAAATTCATAGGATAATGAATATACTGAATAAAAATTACACAATTTCTCTCTTTTTCTTATCTTCATTGTTTAAAGCAGTATTTCTAACATCAATATCAATATCAGTTTACTCACCAGGAGGAGGAGGTGGGGGTGGTGTTGGACTCTTAGGAGCAGAGTCATCAGTATTAACAGGTTCTACACGGTGACTCCTTTTTATTCTTAACTTCTTAGTTTTCTTTTTACTGTTATCTACAAGAATATAAACACAGAACTTTACACCTTTGGGAAAAGGTAAACTTCTACAATAAAAAATAAAGAACAGAACTAGAATATTGACGTTATCATTACCACAGAAATATATCTTCAATTCAACTTTGGAAATTGTTGCCAATAACAAAATTGCTTGAATTGAATTGCTTTTACTAAGAATAAATTTTTTAAATGATTACTTATTGAATAAATGATGAATGAATATGATATGAACAGCAAAAAGCCTATCTTTTATGTTCTATGAGAGGTTATTCAGAATACAAAAAAAAGTGCACATTTCTAAAAGTAACAGATTTTTTCCAAATGTCATATTAAGTAAAGATAATTGTTTAATTGCAGAGATTTCCATGAAACTCAGAATGACCTGGGGAAAGAGAAGAGGTGTTGATTTGTCTCAGTAGGATATATGCAGAATGATTCTAGGTATAACCAGTTCAAAAATAATCCTTTGAAATGTGAAAAAACACCCCAATCAGATCTAAACACATTACTCATTAAAATAACCCCAGAACAAGGTGTGCTTAATATAAATATATGTAACCAAAATCATATTACTAGAACCTTGCAGAATTGAATTTGTGTTTCTTCTAAAAATAACTACAGATTCTCGCTTAAGCACATAAAAACATCTCAAGGACATCTATGTGGTAAACGTGTAAACTTGAACAATGTGAACCAGGATGGCAAGTAGTTACCAAACATCAAAGTTACTGAGACATTTTAATTGACAATCCTAAACTGCTAAATTTATATATAGGTAATACGTTTTCTAAAATGGGAATTATCTGTTACATAAGAAGCAGCCAACATCTAGGAAACCTACAAAACAATGAGAAGTATAAACATATTTAGAAACATTATTTTCCTAAATAAATTAGTGTCCTGTGAGACATTTTACTCCAGAGAGAAACAAGACATCCATCTTTTTACAATTAAAGCTGTATGCCTTACAGCTGGGAGAAAGGAAAGAGCCTCCAGAACCATGTGGTACTTTGGGAAGGACAGGTTCAAGGTCACGGAAGAGCATGGGATTCAGGGCAGATGATCTGAAGTGGAGTCTCAGCCTAGCCACAGACGAGACACACGATCTTAAGTGACGTGACCTCTCTAAGTCCCTGGTTTCCTCTTCTACGTAATGGGGATAACAGACTCTAGGATTGCTATATGAAATAGCATAATGCATCTGAAACCATGTTCTAAGGTATACAATATAAAGTTAATTATTATTATTATTATTATAGTTATATGATTCCTCATCTTAGATCCTCCTATACTATAGTTTTAAATCATCTGCCAAATCATTTTGCTCTTTAAGGACGCATTAGTGTTAGAACGAGTTCTTTCAATATATTGAGAGGCCACTTTAAGTCTACTTTCTGTTTAACTGTTGACAGAGCTATATGCGTACAAATATGGCTGCTCTAAATTCCCAACTTATAAAAAGTATAACTTTCAACTCTAACTATTTTTATACAGCAAAATATCCACGTCAGCTAGTCTACACGTCAGGGATTAAGGTCTTAATAAACTTCATAAACTCGCCGAAACTGTACAAAAATCCTTATATACAATGGAACCATATTGCTAACTAGCAACAGCAAGAAAGTAATGATTATTGGGTATCTCCCACATGTCAGGCCCTGTGCTAGAAGCATTGTCGGGTTATTTTTATTATAAGAACCCTAGAAGCCCTGTGAAAAAGGTGACGCTTATCTCCCTTTTAGAGATGAGGAAACTAAGACTGAACGAATATGCATTAGAGGGGACAATCAGGATTCTATCTACGTCTGATTCCAAACACAGGCTGTCTCTCTATGACACCAAAAGACACGAACTTCCTGTTAAATCACATAATCACTTAGAAAAAGAAAAGCAATCATGAATTGAAAATTTTGTATGATATTAAAGAGGAAATGTCTACTTGATAAGCCTTTAAAAATGTTCAACTGATTATGTCTGCATCCTATAGAAATAGCAAGTCAATAAAGGAAATGACGCTGATTGTCATATTATGAGGCTTAAAGAAAAACAAAAACAAAAACAAAAAAGCCTTAAAGGTATCAAATACATCCCAAGGATTCCTGGGGCTATGCTATATTCCAAATTTATAAAAATGAAATTGAAAACGGAATTTTCTGCTAAAATTCTAAGTTATAAACGACTACATTTTAAGGCATCATGAATAAAAACATAAGTTATCAAATTGACTGATGAGTAAATAAAAACCATGATAAATACTGCATGCGGAGACAAAAAATATTATAGTACATTTTTTGTGAAAATAATCATGACAAATTAAAGTATAATTAAGTTTTATATATGACTTATATGTGTGTATATATATATATTTTCTTAAATAACTAGATTTATCACCTGATTCTGATGATCGCTGGTCTGTCTCATCTTCATTCTCCAACTGCTGGGTTAATGCCTCCTGATAATTTTCTGCTATTCCAAGCTCGTCGTTGTTCTGGCTGCTGTCGCTGACCTGGCTGTGTGTGTCTATTTGCTCACGCTCCACTCTGTGTTTCAGGGGGCAGCCATCACTGTCTTTCTCCATATTTTGCCTCTTTTTTTCAAGCTTTTTTTCATTCTAACAAAAATGAAATATATCATCTTTAATATAACGGTTGTATCCAAGATAGTTTTAAGGGAGAAATCAAATAATCCTGTATTTTCAGGGCTCTGTGATATTTCTATTAGAAGAATTATTTCTTGAATATATCATTAAAACATGCTAGTTGCCAAACATTCAGAAAACACAGATATCTAACGAAAGACAACAAATATTCCCAGTAATTCCATAAGCTAGAGATGGGCACTGTTAGGTGTACAACTATTAAGAGGCACCCCACAAACATACACAATGTGACTGTGTCTCTAGATATACATATTTATGTATTTGTTTTTTAAGCGAAAAAAGAACTTAAGTTTTTATTTCAGAATATATTTTTCTTTCCTTGTCAATGAATATATGAAGTGCCTAGAACAGTGCCTGATGCATAGTAAAGGGTTAGCTACATAAGTGTTGTGTAACACGATATGCGTTTGCTACGATTACTTCCAATTACATGATCATTTTGAATGGTTACATCATAACTTATTTGACCAATTCCCAATCAATGGACAGAGAAGTTATTTTCAATTTTTCACTATTATCAGAAATACAATTATTGAATTCGTTCTTTACAATAAATTCCCAACAGAACTTTTGGAGTAGTGGATAAGCACATTTTAAAATGTGACATAGTACAAACTTCCCTTCAGGAAAACTGAAGTCAACTTACACCCCAGGCAGAGGGTTGGGAGAGTGACATTTCCCTGCCTTTTTATTTTTTTATTTTTTTGTGAGGAAGATCAGCCCTGAGCTAACATCCATGCTAATCCTCCTCTTTTTGCTGAGGAAGACCGGCTCTGAGCTAACATCTATTGCCAATCCTCCTCCTTTTTTTTCCCCCAAAGCCCCAGTAGATAGTTGTATGTCATAGTTGCACATCCTTCCAGCTGCTGTATGTGGGATGCAGCCTCAGCATGGCTGGAGAAGCAGTGCGTCGGTGCGCACCCAGGATCCAAACCTGGGCCGCCAGTAGCGGAGCGCGCGCACTTAACCGCTAAGCCACCGGGCCGGCCCCTCCTTGCCTTTTTCAATGCTGTGTATCACTATCAATCTTTTACATCTCTGCCAAACTAATAAATAAATATTTTTAAATCAAATTAAACCAACACTGAGGTAATTTACTTTTTTATTACTAGTGAGGATGAACTATTAAATACCCATATTGCCATTTTAATTTTTCTTTAGGGAACGACCCATGGTAACCTAACACCAATTTTTCTATTAGATTCTCATCATTTTCATAGTAATTTTTAAGGGTTCTTTTTTTGTCCTATGTGTCTCAAATATTTTTCATTAGGGTTTGTTTGGCTTTTTTGCCTTTAACTTTTTGAATAGCTCTTTAAAAATTGAATATAATAAAGATCTCTCTATTTTTCACTTTATGATTTGTAGCTTGATTGTCCTATTTTGAAAGATTTTCCTCCTCCAAGTATATACAAATGCTTAACTATATTACATGCTAGTATCTTTAAAGTTTCTTTTTTTTTTAACACATTTAAGTCTTTTGTAATTTAATTTTGTATACAGTGTTCAATAATTTTACTTTTTTTCCCAAATGATTGTTCAGTTGTTCCAACATCCTTTTCTCCCAGACTTGAAATGTCACCTTTATTTCATACAGAATTAGGTTTGTTACTATTTGTTCCATTGATCTGTCTATTCTGGAACAAATACCTCACCATTTTTATTACATGAGGTAAAATCAAAGAAATGTAAGATGCTTTTCTAAATGGCAAACATTTCAAAGGAGAAATTTTGTGGAAAAAAGAAAATTTGCTTGGTAAAAAGGAGACTATATAGGCCAGCGGGTGGTGTAGTGGTTAAGTTTGCGTACTCTGCTTCGGCGGCCCAGGGTTTGTGGGTTCAGATCCCAGGCGTGGAACTACACACCACAGATCAAGCCATGCTGTGGCAGCATCCCACATACAAAACGGAGGAAGATTGGCACAGATGTTAGCTCTGGGCCAATATTCCTCACCACAAAAAGAAAAGGAGACTATAGGTAATTTGTTTCATTTCTTTAATGACCATCTTGTTAAAACTATAGCAGTTTAAAAGCATAATAATTGTACTTTCCCCATGCCACTAATTAATTCAGAGACTTTCAATATAAGGTATACTATATATACACCAGTATTGTTCACATTTTTATCTTGTGAAAAATACAATGTTGGTAGAAGTGTCAAGGCCTTCTAAGTAGTTTATAATCATGATACTATAAAATAATTGGTCATTATTTACAAGTCGAGATTTATTACACATGTAGAGTAAATTTATGTTTCAAAGTGAAAAGCCAAACTCCATTTCCTTCTTCTCTACCAATATTTTTAGAAGAACATAAAACAAAACTTGACAAACAATATTTAATAGGATGGAGACAAAATAATAGTTGAAGTTATTAAGACAGCTTTACTGTACTTAAAAAAGCACATACTTAAGGTAAATGCAATGGGCTTAATAAAAAGATCAACTACAATTAACCTTTTGGAATCTAAGCAACTTAAGACCAAATACCTCGTATTGCCAAAATAAAGCAGTATTAAAGCTATCCAATCATCCTCTTTCCTGTGGAGCTGCCTCCCTCCTCAGCAGCAGCCCACAGGAAGAAAATCATACACCTTTCCAGAGGTGCACCTGTGTGGGAGGAGGCAGTGGCAGCAGAGAGGGATGGAGATCAGCAAGCCAGCTGCCAGTTAGGCTCCGAGTGAAGGGGAGGAGGTTTAGGAAGCTCTGCTCTGAGGAGGTGCGGCCGCTGAGGGAGATTATAACAGGGCCAGTGCACACTCAGGACACCAGTCGAAAGGGAAACAAAGACACATGCGCACACACACAACTTCTTAACTTCCTCATGAATAAAATCTACAAATGAATTTTGATAAACCTCTGACAATTAAAATAAACGATACTCAGATATAGAAGAATTTATTATAGTTTCAAACATTCTTAAGTATCCTGGGAAAATAATTAGAACATCATTTACGTACTCTAATGCATCATAAGCATCTAATATTACTGTAAAGGGATAGCACCAGCAATATGGGGACAAAGACAATGTAAAGAAGTAAATATATCACCATCATCTGAAATAGATGACAAAAAAGACTTCTCAGGACAGTAACTATGACAGCTGCTACCTTCGACCTTTGTTTTCATTCTCAGTTAATTCTGAAGTCATCTTTCCTTTTGATACTAGATCAGAGGGTAAATTTGAGCAGGGAGAAAAAGCAGCAAACCTTTAACCCATCTCTCCCATTTAATTTCTTTTGGAAATAATCAATCTCTGGTGAAACACTTCTTTCTATCTCCCTTCCTCCTTTCCCAACTCCCCACTTCCTGTCTCAACTTCCAACTTCATAACTTAACATAGAAAAATTATGTCTGCCACCATCCATACCTCAACGATTACAGATGCTATCGGCCGGAAAGGATTAACAATAACCGGTTCTGGGTCCAACTCAGCCAGACCACTGGTTCCATCGAGTTCAGCCTGTTCACGCTCTCTTTGTTCTCTATTATTTGAGGAAAAAAATTTGGAATTCCTTATAAGAAAATGTTGAACCATGTTTAAGAACACTTGCAATAGGTTAAGGCTATTAAATTTAGTAATTTAAACATCTGGACATGGCCTTGAATTACTGAGAGATTTTCAGAAATCCTTTTGCAGGTAACAGGCCTCTACCCCCATGTAAAAATGCATCATTTACAAATGCCGACAAAAGGACACTCCCTTGACTGATTTCTGAATGTCGATGGTGCACATTAATTATTTTTCTATGTGCCCAGGGTTTATATATATCTATGTATTAATTACCCTCCCAACTAATGCTGCCCTCTCCATCGATGTCAACAGATGAATAACGCTCCTGTTAACCCTCTTCCCAAGGGCTATGTCAAGCTGTGTATCACATATGAACTAGATAACAACTGTTGCATTGCATGATACTAGAAAGGGCTGTAGAAATAAGTTGGTCTTATATCACTCAGATTACATAAGTACTTCCATGTTAGTTACTACTGAAATGTTTACTACCTCTGTGACCTATAGTTAATGCTGCCCTACACGTGAAGAGTAGTAGGTTACTAAAACAAGCAGCTGAGGACAGAAAATGAGTAGTGCAGATCTATAACCAGACTGCCGGCAGCACAGCAACCGAATGTGCATTACCACCACATGCACTAACCACGATGGAAAGATACATTCTTTCATTCTGAACTCAGGAAGCCAAGACTTAGAGATTTGCAAGTTACTATTCCTGCACCTGTATCCAGATCTTTAAGCCTCAGCCTTCCCATCAATGTGGATAAAAATACCTACTTCCTAGGGTTGTTTCAGATAAAGTAATATATGTGAAAGCGCTCTGTAAACGAACATACTTGTAGGACATTAATTGTTACCAACGTTATTCACTTATTAGTAAGCAATTTCAGGCATCCAGTATCGATATACTATTTTCAGATACAAACAATAGCATGTTTTACTGTTTTTCAAAAATATCTGAACTTATTAGATTGAATGTAACGAAGTAAAAAGGATTTTTAAGATCACTCCTCTCTAAATGCCATTTTACTTTTAACTGTGGAGTCTCTGCTCAACAGGAGAGGCCTCGACCACAGGCGGCACCACTGAGAGAAAGCAGAAAAGGGGGATGGGGGTCAGCATAGACTGCATAGCGTGATCCAGACACCCTTATGGAAAAGGTAAAAACCTGAAAAAAATGACTAACATTAGATTTCTTTTATCCAACTCAATATTTTTGTTCTTTTTGTTTGTTTTCTTAGTGGAGGAAAAACAAAGGAGTCTTCAGAAAGCACAGCCATATACTTCGTTTTTATAAATATATAAAAGGGACACTTACATGAATGATGGGTTGTACCCATCATGAGAATACACACCAGGACAGAAAACCCAAGATCTCACAAGAACTGAAATCTCATACATATATCAAGAGAGACTGAGATGAATGCCCCGCTCCTATTCCTGAGCACTTGGGGATGGGGAGCTATCACTACAAAAATTTCTTTCCTTTAAGTCCTATTTCTGAATCAAGTCAAAGATCCCAGTAAGCGACAGCGTGAGGGAGCCCCCAACAAGGCATCCCCAAGGGTTCGGGTTCGGGTTCCGGCTGGTGGGCTCTGGCTCTGTGGTTGTGGGCAGCTCTACGAGAGCATACAGCAAGGACCACTCAGGAAGGAGGAAGACAACTTGGGATCTTATAGGAGCTCACTTAAAAAACTTGTTCGTTTCTCCCCTCCCCTACCTGCAACAATCCAGTGGAGAAAGCAAGAGAAATCCTGGATTAAGTACTAAATTCAACTTCTAATCAATCTGAGTACTTTCTTGCAGCATTAAGAGTATTCTAAATGATTCTGTGGTAGAATTTATGTAATCATTTTTTTTTAATTCAGTGTTTGTTAAATTTAGTTTGCAAGTTTCCTTTCAGGCAACATATTTTTAAAATAATTTTAAAAACATTTTAAAAATCTAATAGAGCAATTTTGTCTACTTTCTCACAAAACTAGCGTTGAAGATAAGATTTTGCTTCAGTTGATTGATCCACCAACCAGCTTACCTTCTAAAATCTTTGCTGAGACTAAAGAAGGGTTTCTCAATCTATTGACGCACTGGGCCCAATAATTCTTTGCTGTGGCACCTGCCCTGTGCATCGTAGGATGTTGAGCAGCACCCCTCGCCTCTAGGGGCCTCCAGGAGCACCCCCGCCCCCAGCTGTAACAAGTAAAGACATCTCCACACATTGCCAAATGTCCTCTGAGAAACAAAATCACCCTGTGGATTGAGAACTACTGCACTAAAGGAGCCATGAGAAATAAGAGAGAAACATCTTGAAACTTTGGTAAATAATAAATACCTAAGGAATAAAGTTAACCACTGTAACTCCATCAGGGAAATTAGAACCCTATCACCCAACTTGAGTACAAGAAAGATCCGCAAACACCGAACATTCACCTAGTATCTTTCTTCATACAGAAAGAGGAGACTGAATAGACAAAACTAAAAACTTATTCATAAAATTGCGGTATTTGACTTTTCCAGTGCAGTGCTACAAAACGAATCCACCCACCTCTCTTCCCGCAGTGTCCGCACGCGTTCAGCCCTCTCTCGTTTCTCTTGCTCCTCAAGAGCACGCTGTTCCGTCGTGTCCTTTTGGATGCGTTCATTTAAGGCATCAAAGTCTCTTGCAATGATATGTAGCAGCCAATAAAGGCCTTTTTTAATGGACTTGTCAATTTTCTTTCCATATCCCAAGACTGCTGAACAAGGTTCCTGAATAACAGCAATTTATTTGACTTAAAGATTAAAACTAAAAGTTCTCCACAAAAATCTATTCTTAAACCATTAAGGTTTAATTATATATAAATATATATATAATTATATATATATATAAGGTATAGTTAATTAAGGATAATTACTGGCAAATCAAAATTAACCCATTAAATTAATGATATGAAGCACCTGCTTATTTAACTTACACCTCTGCAATGACCACTAACAGTACATAGGAGTTAAAATACTTTATGGACAATACCTATAAGCTATGAGAGATACCATGACACAAGAAGTTGACAGTGCCAGTTATAACTTCAAACAAACTGAATGGAAGACAAAATTGAACTGCTGGAAGAAAAATATCCCTACTTATTAAAAATAAGGGAAAGTTTTAATTCCTTATACCAGGGAATTAATAGCAATAAACATCTTTTAAAATTGACAGCCTAATAATTTTCTGAAACCAGAAAAAATGATTAAATCCTCTGTCCATCTTCCTTAAGACTGTATGATAAGTCTCCTGATATGATTTTTCAAAATTCATTATAAATCTCTCCTATGTTTAAATTTTGTATTTATACTTTTTCTTTACCATTTTACAAAAGTTCTAGCACCATGTATGTGTGTACCTTACAGGTCCTGTCATCAATATCTTAAACAAGAAGCAAATCTCAAGTCTGAAATCATGAGAGATAGTTGATGGAAGTCAGTAACAACTGAGTAGAAAACACGTGATACAGTGTTGGGTAACACCGACAGAACAGTGACAATGTGGTTTCCTGGGTAAAAAAATAAGAATTCTTTTAAAACTAATAAATTATTTTCTTAGCTGCCTACCAGCTAACTGCCGACTCCCGTATGAAAACTAACTTACACTGAATATGTCTCACGGGGCACAGCCCAGACTTACAATCTGACAGAGACACTTGTGCTCATTCACCAGCTTCTCCAGAGACAGACACTCAATCACGTCAGCTTCTCCTAACGCCCCCTCCTTGTCTTGTTTATTTGCCAACCTAGAGACATAAATGAAGTCGTCTTACAGCAAATAGATAACCAGACAGCCACTTTAAAATATTTTGACCATGTTCTTCTTATTTGAAAGTTTTAAGCCTACTGATTACAGAACATACTGATTTTAGGCAGTATTGTATCTATCTCATCATTTTTCCTTTATTACTGCTAAAATAAGTTTGTAAGAACTGGCCTGTAAAAGAGAAATCAGGTAAAAAGGAGTGTTAAGAAAACAGCAATAGATCAACAGGCCAACAAAAAAAGCTACATTTGTAGAAAGAAAAAAGCTACATTTGCAGAAAAAGAAGTGAACTAATTTCCACAGCCCCAGCCACCAATTCCAACTTTCACATTAGGCCCTTGTGTTCTTAAAACACACCACGTCATGATGTAAACGCCCTTATCTCACATCCTTATCTTCTCAAAATACAAACCATATCATGTTCTAAACACCCAAACATTCACTCTAGCTTGTAATATCTGAGCTCATCTGCATTTTCAGTCTGTGAATGTGCCCGCATAAATGTGCAGTTTTCTGGAGAACTGGGACCACTGCTATCCAATTTACTTGGCATAGCACCGGGCATAAAACACATTATACTCAACTAGGAACAAATTGAGGAACAACAAAATGAAACACAAAATAAGTTCTAAAAAGAAAAAAAAAGGAATTACCACAAAATACCACAAAAAGTTTAATAAAACACTGTCTTGGTCAGGGTTTTGACAGACATTTCAGGCAAATATGTATTATTTAATAAATACATGGAATAATAAATCTAATGAAGCTTTATCACTTATCTTTAAAAATTATCAACATTGTGCCATTCTTGTTCATCCACATATCTTCCACTTTTCCCCCAGTCATGTCACTTCACCCAAAAATTTAAAAATTAAAAAACATTACCACAATACCACTGTCACATCTAACAAAATTAGTATTCCTCGATATCTTTTTACAAGTGTTATGTCCAAATTCAGATCCAAACCAGGTCCACATTATATTCTTTTAAGTCTTTTTGAAACAGTATTGCCCCCAGCCCCACCCCCCACCCCTGCACCACCACCACCATCACTTTTCCTCCCATGACATTTATTTGTAAAAACAAGTCATTGTTCTATTGAATTTCCCATGCTTAGGATTTGGCTGATATCTTCCTGATGAGGTCTTTTAACACACATACTCTGTATTTCCTGTATCTGGTAATTAGATGTTCACACTGGATGAAATTCAAGTTGAAATCTTTTGGCAAGCATTATTTCATAGATGGTGCTGGTACTTAGGAGGCATGTAATATCTCATTTTTAGTGAGGTGAAAACGAATCAGTGGGTTCAGCTGGTGTCTGCCTGATTTACCCCAAATAAAGCTCCCCATTCAACTTTCACATGATGAAAGCTCTTGCTGAATTCCATTATTATTATTTTTTTTTTCTGAGGAAGGTTGGCCCTGAGCTAACATCCTCTGCCAATCTTCCTCTTTTTGTGTGTGAGCCACCACCACAGCATGGCCACTGACAGACGAGTGGTGTAGGTCTGTGCCTGGGAACTGAACCTGACCTGCCGAAGCAGAGCACGCAGAACTTAACCACGAGGGCACCAGGGCTGGCCCCGAATTCCATTATTTTATAAGAGCTTATAAAATCATGACTTTTCTAGTTCTATATTCCTTCTGCATTTACTAGCTGGATTTTTGCTAAAAAGTAAGCTTTCATCAACTAGTTGGTAAATCTTATTTAAATACAATTCAGAGAAAACTCAAGATAAAAGTTTGATCCTTTGCCTTCATTTCCTACTTTTCATAATAATGAATGGGTGCCTTATCAACCTCCAAAGGTGATGAGGTTGCTTTCTTTGGTTTATGGGGGACATCATTAAGAACTCACAGATTTTTAAAATGTATATGATGTGTTTCAAATTATTGTAGTTACTCTTCTTTTTGAGGCTCCAAGTTACTCATTTTTGGTGAGTGGGGGTCCCCCTGTGTTGGCTCCTGTGTTCTTTTGGTACACCTCCAACAGCCATTGATAGCTTCTCTGCTTTCTCACAGGAAACAAGGTCCCAGACCTGGAATCATCCATTTCCCTAAGGAGCCCCAGTTCTTTCAGTGGGAACGGGCATCTGCAAGACCGCAATCTGGGTGCTGAGGACATTTACTGCTATTGACTTGCCATCACTTCTAGACCCTTTCAGTGGACAAAGCTAGGGAAACTAGTTTTTTTAAGAAAGAAAAAAATTAAATCATGAGCGCACATTGATTTTTCCATTTTAAATCAAATATTACCAAGTTTTTACTTAGCTTCTTAATTTCTCTTTTTCCTTATGCTGAAAACTACAGTTTCTAATAAAACTGATATTAACTATGTGCTTTATCCTACAACATACATAACTAAGAATTTCAACATACCAACACCAAACTTATTACTAAAAATAAGACTACTAAAGGCAGGTTAAGATCTCTGTGTGCTTATTCTTGTCTCTACAATACATCCCACAAGAGATGCACAGTCAAAACACTGGGTTTTAAAATTACTTGAAATAATCCTTCTCTGTGCCTCCATCTAGATATATATAGCTAGGTTCCTTTGTTTCAGGCTGCTTTTGGTTTTTAGATAGTTTAATTTTTTATTTTAAGATTTAATTTTTAAAACATTTATATGGTTCCAAATTCAAAACTATAAACACAAGGTACAATCAGAAAGAACTGTTTTCCATCTCTGTCCCTTTTCCTCTCTCCTTTCCTTCCCTTCTCCTATAGGTAACCATTTTCATTATTTTTTGGTTCATCCTCACATTGTTTCTTTTTGAAAACATAAACATACGTATGGAGGAAATGGTATTTTAAAGACCATGGTTTGGGCACTATGGAAATTCAGTGCTACTGACCAACTGGGGCGTTGCCCATGTCTCCACCCTCCCTTTCTGTCTCAGAAGCTAGCATATATACACGCTCTTGTGCACCACCATGCTTTTTTTTTTTCCAACAGTAAATCCTAAAATTACCCTGAAGCAGTATAAAGAAATCCTCTTTATTACTATTCTTTATTAATGAGCAAAATGCCCATTACATGGATGTTACATCATTTATTCAGCTAGGCCTACACTGAAGGACTTGGGGCTGTTTCCAGTGCTTTGTTTTTACAAGAGTGCTGTGAAGAGTAAGCGGGTGAAGGAGTTATTTCTTATTCTGGGAACAGATTCCAGGAAGTGGACTACTAAATCAAAGAATAAATGCAGATGTTGTTTTGATGGCTGTTACAGCAATGTCCCTCCTCTTACCTTCAAATCATAATGACTCAGGCAGAAAAAGAAGGAGAATAAGAAATTTAGTAGTGAGAGAAATTTTATTTCTAACTGTTCCGACAAATATTTCACTCTGGTAAAAATTTTAAATTTTTATATTGATATAATAAACAGCATAACATATATTGCTGCACAACTTCAGTTTTTCTGCATGGGAAACTATGGAAGAAACTTATTTTAAAATAAAAATAGCAGGTATAGTGAGAAGAAAGGTAAGGTGGAAGGTTTAAAGACATGAACTTTTTTCTGGCTGCTGTAGTTCTGAAATGCTGTGATTTTACGAGTCACACCATGGGATTTCCTAAAAGAGGGCAGAACTGAATCATTTTAAAGTAAATGGAACAAAAAGCCTTTAGACCAAGCTTCTTTCCTTTCCTATTTATTCCAAATTCCATATATTTAGCAAGTTTTGATACCTAAAGAAAACAAAGTAGCCTTTGTTTAAATACAAACCCCCTTTCTGTGAGGAAGGTATTTCATATATCACACAGGGCTGGAGCCACAGAGCCAGAGCCAACACTCTCTGAGGCGGTTTACCAAGGACTTCCTGTTAGCAACCAGCTCCAAGGAAAAGGACCTCCCTTTAATCTAACCGGCAGTGGACAGGCAGAACCGGATTCTCCAGGTGTGAAGTAAGCAGTCTCTCCTCCTCATTTGATATTAACAGCAAAAGGTGAACTTTATCTCCAAATTATTTGACTTCATTATTTGGCTTTCAATTAAGTTAACCATATGAAAATTGTACGGAAATTAGCCTGTGAACTATAAGGCAGTGACTTAAATAATTTGATCAAAACCTCACAGATGATACTCAGTTTTTCTCTCAAAGGCAGGACGGCAACACCACAGGTGAAAAGCAACCTAAAGAACAAGACACAGGTAAGTAAACCACTCTTCTGTGTACCTTTTAACCTGCGACTGCCACAGACTGAAATCTGTGACATTGAAAAAGAGCTCCACAGAAATTAAAGTTTTGCTCAGATTTGGAACAGGCTACAAGCAGCTGATCTGTTCATACATACCGCTGATATTCTAAATGGGATTTGGGTTTAGAGCTCTTAGAAATAGACCACTATAATAAAAATCAACTTTTTCTTTTAAGTCCTTTAAAAAATAACTTCTCATTTTGAAAACACTAGAAAGTAAGATCCCATAAAAACAAATTTAAAATTCTTTCTTTTATAGACAGACTATAAAGTAGTCATACTGTGCTTGCTTTAGGGAACACTTTTACATTTAATTCTGAAAAAAAGCTTATGCCCAAATTTGACATATATGTATAACCTTTAAAGAGTTAAGATAATTTTCTATAAGGTCTTATATAATTTCTTTGTTGTTTCTCAGAATCTTTTAAAAATAATTTGAGGTTATTAGAAAATAATCTTGTTGTAAAAGGACTACTGTAAAATATCAAAGTACTCACTTTTTTAATGTTCCGGCTAGTACATTGAAAGTATTCAAATTATAAAATTTAATATAAATATTATATTTAATTTGATAGTTCTAAAAATTTAAGTCAGCATCATTTAAATTTAACACAATAGGTAGGGCTGATACTTTCAAAATTAAGCAATATATAGAGGCTTAACCAAAACATTTTATTTTTTGATATTTCTTCAAAGTTACTTTATAATTGTTACCATGTTAGAATTTAATAAATAACCCATTTCAAATCAAAATAATAATGACTTTTAATAAATGTTTTAAGGGTGGACTTGAAAGTTGGCTACGTAATACCTAGAACACATTATCTTCATGGCTATGCAGTTTTAAATTTAATATAAAAATCATTTTATGTACGTACAGCTTACTTTAATCAGATAAGTGAGAGGTCAAAATTACACGAGTTAATATTTAAACAAAAATGGTCTTAATGTTACATTAAACAAGTTAATTTAACAATTAACTTACACTAAATAAAAAGTAGAATTAAAAAAGCACTGAAAGGCTGCATTACAAAAAAGATAATTTAAACTTAGAGAGAATATATGCAATTTGCAATATATTGTTAGTTTGTTTTCCTCATTTAAGTAGCCAAAAAGGTGACTATTCTAATAACATCAGCTTTCACCTTCAACTAGGGAAATGTTGCAAGCTGTCTTCATACACAAAAGCAAAAGAATACTCTACTTTATGTTGGATAAAAACTGGTTACATTTCTTGAAATATTTTATTTAATCAATATAGTAACTATAGAAAGAAATGTCTTAAAAAAAATTTATAAATCTATAAAGTATATAGATATAAAGTATAAAGATATAAATCTATTCCAGGGCATACTTCTTAAAGTACTTGGTAATTTTTATTCATACTTCTGTTCCTGGGAATGTTCCTTGTCTGAAACAGGTTGGAGAAACTTTTGAGTCATACAAGTTTACTTTTCTATTTTCCAGAACAAATTGTCAAAGTTGATTACCAGATAAATTAGTGTTCTAATTTTCTTTTTGCAAATATTATATTTAAGCTCAAAGATATAGTCAGTTATTGACAGTAGAATTCAAAACTGCATAGCAATGAAGTAAGCTAGCATGCTGAAAGATGGTTCACATTTGGATAGAACTCTTCCAATATTAACAAAATAAATGTAAGGCACAGAAAAGATTGCATGAAATGGTGGTATGATCAATTGCACCTCGCCTAAGCAAGTAAATGATCTCACAACTATGAGCTTAATATTTTATGCCTTCATGAACTGTCTTTTCCAACTTTTAAATTCTAATATGTTTAGATGTCTCACTTTACCTAATATTCTAATTTATGAAGATATAAGATTAAGCAATTACATTGGAAATTGTTATACATGTAGTCATGAGTATGCAACTACTAGAAAATGCAATTTATATACAGCATATGAGTGCACCTGAGTACCCACATTAAGTCAATTTCTGCACAGACAAACAAGGATTAGGGGAACATTCTGAATTATGTTAACTCTATAAAGATAATTACCTATGACTTTCAGTCAAGACCTCAGATACAGAAATTCTTCCCTCTTGCTACAAACATACAGAAGTGTTTGATATAATCTTAAGAAAAGAAGATAAAACTACATCATTACATTTGAAGAAAGGGAAATTTCCAGGTACCAGAAATGAAGAGGGAACACATTCATAGCCAAAGTGGAGAGCAGGAATTGAAATTAAGTCCCTGGGCACCAGAAGCAAATACTTCACCTCAGAAGCTGAAGTTAGGGTTTGTGCATAAGAGGGAACTAAACCGAGGTTCCTAGATGAAGTAGTGAACTACTCTATACAGAGAAGGGAAAAGTCTCTGATGGCTTGTCCAGGATTACAGCAGGAAGGAAGGCATTTGGCCAGGCTATAAACATTTCACTACAGAAAAATCAGGCCCATACTTATACTACCTGGGCTACAATGGGCAAACTCCATGGGGCCCTAGTAGTGACAACCACAAAAATGGGTCAAGATGTATCCATAATCCAGGACACTCAGGGCATTCTTGTATAACATAGTTCCCCAATGAAGGTAAACTACTGACAAAGTTCACTAAACACACTTGCCCACCACACCAAGAGAAATGGTCAGTGGCCACAATAAACAAAGGAATTTATTCCTAAGAAACCAGAAATAACCTAATAATGTAAAGAATCTTCAAGATAAATAAACTTTAAATGTTCAAAAGAAATAAATGAAGACATAGGATTCATAAACCAAGATGAACACAGCATGAACTTGAGAGTTGATTTTATATAAACATCATTTACTGTAATATGCCTGCCATGGTGTACAGCATCGACAGGAAATCTGACTCTATGTTTTTCCTCTAATATCAGTAACACACAGAGATTTATAGAAAAAAGGAGATTCAGAACACAGCAGTCATCCTTTATCCACAGTTTTGCTTTCCACAGTTTCCATTACCCGCATCAACCCTGGTCCGAAAATATTACATGGAAAATTCCTGTGTATCCATGCTGCATAGGCTACTCACCTGTTAGTCACTTAGTAGCCGTCGGTTATCAGATCGACTGTCAAGAATCACAGTGCTTGTGTTCAAGTCACCCTTATTTTACTTAACAATGGCCTCAAACCACAAGAGCAGCATTGCTGTTGCTGTCATTTTGGGTACACCAAAGAGAAGCCATAAAGTGCGCCCTTTAAGTGAAAAGAACATAGTACATACAAGATTCAGTACTATCCATGGCTTCAGGCATCCACTGGGGGTTTTGGAAAGTACTCCCCGCAGATAAAGGGGGACTACTGTATTTACTTATTTTTTGCTAGTAAATTTATTAAGACGAATGAATATAAAATACATATGAATATATTTGGAAGAGTTCCTAAAAGTACCTTTTATTCAAATATGAAAATGTGGTATTCCTTCAGGAAACTGTTCTTCCAAGGACAGAAACCCAGGAAAAGACAAGCTTTGCAAGGGTCAGAGTCAAGTATCTTGGATTCCACAATCGGTGACAGTAGAATTCAGCTTCCCAAAAGCGCTTTGCAAAGATATACTGTGCCACAATATCAATTTGAAATATTCTATTTCTTAAAAAATAATTTTTTTAAACTATGATGCTTCATAAAAAGGCTTTTGATGGCGTTGATCATTTATTTCTAACTGAAAAAAAAAGAAAGATCTATCCAGTCATAAAAATGTTAGAGAGAGTTGTTTCAGGATTTGTTCCAAGCCATGCAGGCAAAGAGAAAGTTGGAGACATTGCAGTTCTTGAGAACTGTGAAACACAAGATTGTTAAAAGCTACTTAGCTATTATTATATAAGCATTAGATAGGACTTAACTCTCATGAATAAACAATCAAAATCTGTTTTGTTTTGATCCCCCCATTTATCATCTGTGCCTCCAATAGTGTTACTCTTTTCTTTTTCCCATATCACCAGGAAGACAAGTCAGTTAAAAAGATAGAGCGACCAACAGCATATCTGCTACATACATGGTAGCTGTAAGAATTTGTAGTAACAGGTTAGTAGAAGAAGAGGAAACAAATCTGTGTACATAAGCAGGAACGAAGTACACCTCACTTCCTATCTATCTTATTTCAGCCTGAGACTATGAGCTAAAGCAGAAGATACTTGAATCCCAATCTCAACATGCCAAGGACAGGATTCAAACCTTCTTAGAGACCTTCTGTGACAGGTCTATGAAATCGGGACTAATTCTTTTTCTTCTTCTAAATTGTGAAGTGCTTAATTTGGTCTGATTATATTAAAGAGCCTAATAAAGCTGCAATCAATATCATTATTTTAGATCAGATATGCTATATTACCTCCTGCAAAAACTTTTTTCTTTTAAACACAGTTTTTATACAAATAACATGCTCACATACTATTACATATATCTCCTCTATTTTGCTTATTTCCTACTTGTAAGGCCAAGAAATACATTCCTAGAAGACATGCACAACATATGGATCAATAACTACTGTTTTATATTCATCTACTTCCCTAACAACAAGTTCGCAGTCCTATCTATACTGCTCCTTGACGCATCTTCTTTCACAGATTTTCCAGGTTTAATATTATAGCTTGTTATTTTTTCCCACAGATCTTAGTAAACCACTAGCTTTGGTTAGTTCTGTTTCTAAGGTAGAGAAATTACTCCTTGCAAGTAAGGTGGAATACAGATAATGGAAAGCGGGGGGACAGAGCGGGTGAATCCCTTCAAACTTAGAAGTCTCTTATTTACATAAACTGCACAGACTGTAACTTTTTTTTTTACTTTTAATATAGAAAATCAGTGGTAAAATAAAAGTCTATAAGCTATTTGAATTAAGTATTTAAAATATTTAAAATAAACAGAAGAAAACTATAAGCACATTATAGGCTACAAAAATTTGTTCTTAAACGTTTCCACCCAGTACTTAAGATGCTCAGGTACACAGCAAATGTTTCTGAGTAAACTGTTAATATCTATAAAAGACTTTTTCCATCAAAAGCAGATTTCGAGGTCTTATCTCCTGTGATGTGGCTTCTTTCCCAAGCACTTTATTTACCTAGCTGCCTCTTCTCAGAACTCATCAGAGCTGATCTCTACAGAGCATTGGAAAAAGGCCTTTACACACAGCAGAGGGTGAGTCCTTCAAACTAGACCACCTGAATTTGAATTTCAGCTGTACCACCAGCTGGCATCTTGGTTAAGTCAAGGCTTAATGTCATATTCTGTAAAATAGAGATTGTGGTAATACTTAAGAGTTCTTAAAAGAACATAAACACATTCAGAACAGTGCCTGGCACATGTCAAGGTCTTGAGAACATATGAGATCTCCAGAGCTCAAAACCAGAACCTGAATGAACACGAGATCTGTCAAGGTGCTGGGAACACCTTGAATCAAGATCCTCGCCCTCATGGGGAGACAGCAGACAATAAATGAAGATAAATAAGTGAAATATACATAGCATGTTAAATAGTAAAAAGCGCTGGGAGAAAAACAAAGCTGGGAAGGGTGGCTGCAGCTTTAGAGGGTGACCAAGGACAGCCTTCCTGAGAGGGAGTCACTTCAGTGAGACCTAAAGGAGTTGGGGGATAAGTCAGCACCACATGGGAGAGCATTCCAAAGAGAGGAAACACCAACAGTCTGGTCTGTGTGAGGAATAGCAAGGAGCACAGTGTGGCCAACGCAGAGTGGGTGAGTGCAGGAGGCAAAGAGAGGTCAGAGAGGACCTGGTGGGCGCTGGGTTTTCCTCTGGGAGAGAGCGCTGAAGGAGGGCTTCCAGCACAGGAATGACATGGTCTGACTCACATTTTAACTCCGGTTTCTGTGTTAAGCAAAGACCCAAGGGGAAGGGGATGTGAAGGAGAAAACAAGGAGACCACGTAGGAGACGGTTGCAATAATCCAGGTGAGAAATGATGACTTGGACCAGAGCAGCGGTGAGAGGAGCCTGGATCCAGACAGACCTTGAAAAAGGGGTTGACAAGATTTGCTATTAGTTTGGATATGAGGTGTGGGGGGAAAAAACCAAAACATAGTAGTCAGGAATGACTCCAAAAAGAACAGAGTTGCCATTTAGTAAGATGGAGCTGCAGTTTGGAGGATTATTTTAGGCACAGACATTCAAACGGAGCTATCGATAGCTAGGTGTTATGAGAGCAGTCTAGACTGGAGATGTAACTTTGAGTCATCAGCTAACGGAGAGCATTTAATGCCATGAGACTGGAAAATGATGGTGAATAGAAAGAGGACTGAGCCAGAAACCTTCCAATATTCAGCGGTCGGGGAGGTGAGAGGAAACCAGAAAAAAAAAATGATGAAGGAAGAGGTAAGAGGAATGCCAGGAGAAACACCTGGAAACATTTCAAGAAGTGATGGTCATAAGTGCTGCTGATGGGTTAAAATCATCAGTGAGTTCTATTGCTTCTACCTCCAAATATATCCTGAATGATTCCCAGTTATTCCGTCTAGTTTTATCATCCAAGTGTCTCCTGTGAACTATTCTCCCCACCCTGGGATACTATTCTCTATACAGCGATCTTTTTTTTTTTTTTTTTAAAGATTTTTTTTATTTATTTTTCCCCCCAAAGCCCCAGTAGATAGTTGTATGTCATAGCTGCACATCCTTCTAGTTGCTGTACATGGGACGCGGCCTCAGCGTGGCTGGAGAAGCGGTGCGTCGGTGCGCGCCCGGGATCCGAACCCGGGCCGCCAGTAGCGGAGTGCACGCACTTAACCGCTAAGCCACGGGGCCAGCCCCTATACAGCGATCTTTTAAAAACATAAATCATATGTTAATACCCTATTTGTCCTTTAATTTTCTTCCACTGCATCTAGAATAAAATCTCAACTCTCTACTTGGGCCCACAAGGCCCTTTATGATCTGATCCCTGCCTATCTTCCTGACTTCATTCCTCTAATGTTACTCCTCACAATAATTTCTATCTACACAGGTATTTATTTTGTTCCTAAAACATATCAGTTCCATTCATTGCCCTGGCACCTCATCTCCTATACCCAGGAGAGACTCCCTTGGCTCTTCATCTTCTCAACACTTAGGTCTCACAGCTCAAATACCTCCTTAGAGAGGCCTTGCCTAACTGATCTATCAACATCTAAAATTACCTCATTTATCTGTTTAATTGTATATTGTCCATCTCTCCTCAGACAGTAAATTATTCACGGACAGGTACTATTGAATATATAATACAGTATTTAAAACTTTGAATATAGTAAGCATCAATAATTATTTGACAAGACGTCAGTCCTTTAAAACCAAGGGAATACTATCAGGACACTGGTTTAACTTTTTACACAATGTAGATAACATTTCTATAACATCCTCCACTGGGTCATCCTTCAAGAACATCTTGAACATCTCCAGGGATGGCAAGTTCATTATCTCATGAAGCAGTTTATTCCATCTTGGGACAGCTCTACTTGTTTGAAAAGTCTGCTTTATACTAATCAAATCTCTCTCCATGTAATTTCCACCCACTGCCCTTTGGAATAGTGCCAAGTAAGTCTAATCCCTTTTATATACACAGACCTACACATTTTAGAAAACAGTTGTAGATATTCCCTACAGCTTCCCTTTTGCAGGACAAATATTTCCATTTATTTCAATGATTCTCCATATATTATGGTCTTCCAGTCTCATCCTTTCCATGATGGTTTGGAAATTCCTAATGTATGACTTGTCATCTCAAAACATCATACTCAGAACTTAACACAGTCCCTCCCATCTGCTTTGACCAGCATAGTCAGTGGAACAAATATCTTTCTTAGTCAATCTAGACATCATACTATTATTCACGAAAGTATAATGACTATTCTGATAGTTCTGATAGAAAGCTCACAATTAATTAAAATCTCCAGTAATTTTCATAAGCACTGCTATGAATACAAGAGTCTTCCATTTTGTAGGTGTGAACGTGTTTTCTAAACACTAGGTGCTATATTTTACATCTACCCCAGTTAAACATATTTTTGTTACTTTTAGTATAGTGTTCCATGCTATTTTAATCTTTGAATCCCAACCCCGTACTTCAACATACTAAAGATCTCTCCTTATTTTGTGCCATCAACGTATTTGATAAGTATGTCTTCTATGACAACATTCAAATCACTGATAAAAATATTTGCATGAATATATCAAACACTAAGTCCCATAGCATAACAGCATAACATTAAAGAACTTTTTCTCTGGTTGATACTGATATCATGTGTGGTTCAATGAGCTATTTGCAACTCCCTAACAGCTGCTTCTTATTCTCGAAAATATGAAAGGTATTATTAAATGCCTTTCTTTTTTTTTTTTTTAAAGATTTTATTTATTTATTTTTCCCCCAAAGATAGTCATAGCTGCACATCCTTCTAGTTGCTGTATGTGGGACGCGGCCTTAGCATGGCCGGGAGGAGCGGTGCGTCGGGGCGCACCCAGGATCCGAACCCGGGCCGCTGGCAGCGGAGCGCACGCACTTAACCACTAAGCCACGGGGCCGGCCCTTAAATGCCTTTCTAAAGTCAAGATGCTCTGTGAAAAGAAATCATTTTATTAACAAAGATTGCTTCTTATTCACTCCATTTCACGTTTATGCATATCATTATATGTATAGATATATCACTATGCATAAATTATGCACATCAGTTTGTTCTATGGTAACTACCAGCACAGGATGTGATAAAAGTCAATATTATCAGCCCTCTCAAAGTAAGATTTTATATAAACATGTTTGTAAAAATATCAGTATGAATCGATATAAATTTTGTTCTAAGTCAGTCTGGATATCTTTGCAAAGGAATGCTAAGAATGAGAAATCAGCATAAGCAAACCAAGTATATGTTTTCACATGCATGCAATGGAGAAGAAAACAAAGCTACATCAAATAATGTGTTAATCAATCTGGAAGCCTCAGAAATGTTAAGATAAATTCAACATCATCCGTATTGCTTAATGCTGTCATATGGAATCTGCCCTGTCACTAGTGGTTTTAATTGAATTATGCATATTTAGCAAAATGAGTATATTTTTAACATTACATAGACCAAATTAACTGGGAACAGTATCTTTAGTAATGAGGGTACTTTCAGAGGCCCTTTTAGTCTTAAAAGTTGAAGATATGGCAAATCTTTCATGCTAAGATATATCTTCCTATATCAAGAAAAATCTATTATGTGGCAGTATGACACTGAAGAACTTATTTGGGGGCAAACAGAGATAAAGAAATATCTATCTCTGCTTTCTCAGCAACTTCATTCCCCTGAATGTGACTCATAGCAGCCCCACGTCATGCGAAGTAATTTACAAATTATTTTACTTTAGTTTTCCTATTTCTGTGATCTTTATGAGGAAATGCTTATTGGTTTTTCTAATTTTTTAACCTCTTCTCAGAAAACTATGGGGATTTTTCCTGGGAGATACACATAGCTAGGCAAAGCCAACTGCTCCTTGGGAAAATATCCAACTTTTCTTTGTTCATCATAGTCATTTTTGTTTCTTAGGAGGAAAGGGAAGATGAAAGACCGACTTCAAGAACTAAAGCAACGAACAAAGGAGGTGGAACTCTCTAGAGACAGGCATGTGTCGACTACAGAAGCAAAGGAGCAAGGGGTGTTTCTGCAGCAAGCTGTTATTTATGAAAGAGAGCCTGTAGCTGAGAGACACCTACGTGAGATCCAAACACTACAGGAGAGTATTAACAGTTTTACAAACGATGTTCAAAAATTTGGGCAGCAACAGAAAAGTCTTGTGGCTTCAATGAGAAGGTTTAGTCTGCTTAAGAGAGAGTCTAGCATTACAAAGGAGATAAAAATCCAAGCTGAACACATTAACAGAGGTTTGGATGATTTAGTAAAAGAAGTTAAAAAGTCAGAGACTGAAAACGGTCCATCAGCAGTGGTCACAAGGATACTGAAATCTCAGCACGCTGCGATGTTCCGCCATTTTCAGCAAACCATGTTTGTATACAATGACACTGTAGCAGCAAAGCAAGAGAAGTGCAAGACGTTTATTTTTCGTCAGCTCGAAGTGGCTGGAAAAGAAGTGCCTGAAGAAGAAGTAAACGCTATGCTTCATCAAGGAAAATGGGAAGTGTTTAATGAAAGCTTACTTACAGAAATTAACATCACTAAAGCACAACTGTCAGAGATAGAACAGAGACACAAGGAGCTTGTCAGTTTGGAGAACCAAATAAAGGATCTAAGGGACCTTTTCATTCAGATATCTCTTTTAGTAGAGGAACAAGGAGAAAGCATCAACAATATTGAAATGACAGTGAACAGTACAAAAGAATATGTTAACACTACTAAAGAGAAATTTGGACGAGCGGTAAGATACAAAAAAAGAAATCCTTGCAGGGTATTGTGTTGTTGGTGTTGTCCATGCTGTGGCTCAAAATAAAGAAGCTACTTTAAAAAACTTTCTGGCTTTAGAATGAAGAATGGCCCATATTTCAGTGTCCTGTATTGTTCTTCTTCATTTCACAGATCCATTCACATACCTCCTATCACTATTAACTCATAATTTTCCCCATTAGTCCTTACCCACTAGAATTACAGAAACTTCTGAGGCTAGTGACATGAAACAAGTCTTCATTTATTAAACCAAAAACAGTATAGTTAGCTTTAAACTCACAGGTTAACTATTGAAAATGAAGTGAATGATCTTAAGTTTCTGGTCAGGTATCAAGCTCTATTCTATATTTTTGTAACTTCCAATGCCTTAACAAGATGAATGTCATTAAGTGATAACTACTTAAACAACCCTTTTGGTTCATTTAAGAGGATTTTGGTAGTTAATAATTGGATAAAATAAGACCTCCAGGGGTGCTATATTAAAGCAAAATCTACCTAGAAGCTGTATCAAATCTTTTATGCTCAATTAGGTCAATTAATTCAGAGGTCAACAAACCCTAGGAAGACCCAACTATGTACTTGATGAAGAGTCTGGTTGGCAACTGGGAGCTGAATCTAGTTTGATGCCTAAGAAGGTAAGTTAAGGCACTGTTTTCCTGAACTTGGGTCCACTCGGGACACTGTACTACAGATCAGGAGGGGTGGCAAATAAAATAAAAAATAAAGGCAATCGCATCCTCGAAAGTTTCTCCATCACTTTACTGTGAAGCCAGGCACTATACCACGGGCTAGGGATATAGTTTGAACTCACACAGCAATAGAGTTTTGGATCACATTCTAGTGGAGAAAGCAGACAACAACCAAACACAAATTTTAGATAATAAGTTCTTGACAGAGACTTAAAATAAGGGTGGTGAGAAAGAGACTGCCAGGGTGGCTTCTTTTGGTTGGTTAGTCAATGAAGGCCTCTCTGGAAGGGAATACAAGTAAAGATTTGAATGATGAGGACAAGGGAGGGTATATTCCAGGAACAGAAAACAAACAGTACAAAGACCCTGAGGAGGTCATAACTTACTCCATTCAAAGAAAAATGAGCAGCACAGCTTATCAGGGTGGGAAATGGGCTGTGAGGTAAGAGGGGAGGTTAAGACCAGTCAGCAGGGCTAGATTTAAGGCTTTGTGAGCCACGTAAGTCTGAGGTAGACATATGTTTTCTGTCCTCTCTGAGGTTGTGCCATATCCTTCTACCTAGTGCCTTACTGATGCTTGTTTATAGTTGCTCCTAAATTGTTTATCATGAAAACTGAGAATATTAAGTACTATTTAATATTAATTAGCATAATTATATCCAGATGGATTTGTAAAATAGTAATTTTCTATTATATCTGCACCTAGTGCTTTTAAAGTAAGACTTAAGCTCAGATTCATAGCAAAGCAATGTATCACATACAATTTTCACTGTTATATTTTAAAACCAATTAGTATCACTCTAACCTAAGCAACAAAAACAACATGATATTTAACTAATTAGTTGTTGAACATTTTGTATATTTTATTCACACAATAGGCACTAAAAGTAGTATTTTTTTCCTTAAAATTACTACCTTCAGGAAAAAATTCTTAAGAATTAGAGGCACAATATTAGGAATCTTCTGGTTTTAGTAGTATCCTATAATAAAATAATGAAAATTACTGTGAGCACTTGGGCTCATAATCTTACCTACTAAACTACTAAACTTAGATTCTATAATCAAAAGCTTCATGTAGCCTGAATTCATATGATGAGACACTTTAAAACTGGCTCTCCTAATTCATCTCCACGTGGACACGGCGTATCATCAACAATAACTGTTCATATCCACATCACACCAGCAGAACACTGGTAGAGCACTGCACCAGCTGCCTTAAACATTACTTGGAATTCACATGACACACAGGTATTAAAATCCTTATTTACAAGCGGAGACACAGAAGCTCAGAAGGATTAAGTGACACATCCAAGGCCTGTCTGACTCCATAGTCCACGCTTCCCCCACACCAGCAGTTCTTAATGTTTGCTGTGCAACAGAATGATCAGGAAAAGCTGTGAAACAACTGGAAGCATCCCTGGCACCCAACAACGTAGGAGGTCTGGGCTGCTGCTGATGCACGTGGTCCCGAGACAACATCTTACTGCCCAACAACGCTGCCAGCAGGTTTTTCTTTTTTGCTGAGGAAGATTGGCCCTGAGCTAACATCTGTTGCCAATCTTCCTCTATTTTGTGTGTGGGTCGCCGCTACAGCATGGCCACTGACGAGTGGTATTGGTCCACGCCTGGGAACCAAACCTGGGCCACTGACATGGAGCACACCAAACTTAACCACTAGGCCACGGGGCTAGCCTGTTATTACGTTTTTAAATAGTGTGTTGAGGTGGGGGAGGGGGAGGATGGGAACCTCTACAGGATCTTCGGGCATAAACTACCCAGGATGTCAACCAGCTGAGAAGTTCACTGTGAACTACAGCTGCTGAGTGGAGCTGGATGCCATCAGAGACAAAAAGGAAGCCCTCTGTAGGAAGTCTGGAGGTGAGTCAAGTCTAACTAAATAAGGTCTATGAAGATGACAGCTCAGAATGGTTCCATTGAAAGAAGAGAAATCTTAAGCCAATGGGCCCTATATATACAGTGAGTAGGGGTTTCAGATGGTGAAAATAGTAAACGAGAGGACTCACCACTTTGTCTAAGGATCAAGTGATTAAGTGACATGGGTAGTCCATACTTCCACACTTGCGGGTTTCCAGTATTCTAAAAAGAACCCAAGTTCTCCTATTTATTATTTAAAGATCTAACTTGGTAAAAGTACATTTGACTCAAATTCTAATGACAGTATTAGGATAATCTATAACCTAGTTAACTACCCCTGGGCACCAATAATAAAGAATATGACTCAAAGAAACTTGCAAACTAACATTTTCCTGTAACACTGGCTAGAAGAAAGGTGAGTCAAGTAGGCATATAAAGGCTGGAGACAAAAATCCCATATTGAAAAAGCAATAAAAAAAGCTTGGTTATTGTTTCTCCTAATATGGAAACCCACTGCGGTGGTTTTTAATCTTTTTGGTCATGAAATCTTTTAGGAATTTGATGAGAGCTAAGATCTGCACCCAAGAAAAATGCACATGCACTCAGAATTGTGTATGTGATTTCAGAGGGTCCTGGGAGGTCATCCATAGTGCAAAGACCTCTAGGTCAAAAAACTCTTTTTTTTTTTTTAAATGTTCATAATACCAAGTAAGATTGTGTTAGAGGTATTATGTTTTCCTCCCTGAGTGAAACTCCTCTATACTTATCACTTTTGCTCTGAAGCATCCAATTTGAGAGGTTTGGCCAAAAGTTGTTAGGTCATACAACTCCACAGAAAAGCAGATAGTATGTAATGAGCAAGTGGCACCTTCCCAAGAGTTCAAGTGTGCTAACACAAGTAGAATTGTTATTATCCTGGGAGGAAATTTTAGCCTGTGGCTCTCCAGAGTTATTCCAGTTATAGGTACTAGAAGATTCAACCACAAAAAAGGAAAGGTCATTTACTCTCTGTCTGAGGCCAACTTGCACAACTATACTAGAGAGAAGACATGTAGAGAGAGCATCCATAGTTAATCAGAGCATAGGTTCAAGTTAATCTCTATAGTAGATACGATAGAAAAAGAAAGACTTTCTAGGTAAATAAATAGGTTAACATGATTACAGAGCAGAACGTTTGCATGGCATCCATTTTCACTCTCTTTGGAAGGAATACAAATCACTTTTACACTTTTTACTGAAATGGATTCTTGAGAGAGCCTACAGCATGGTTCACATGATCATATGTAGCTGAATACAAACGCAGAATGACACTATTGTACGGCTACTTTCATTCTAGACGAAGCTTTTAACCCCTAGGTCCAAACAAGCACAGTGACTTGCCAGGGTCATGGACAAATTCACACGAGTTCTTAGAATCCAGGTTCCAGACTCTCCCTCTTCTCTCTTAATCCCTGGTTTTCCAACTTTTCACCACTTATTTCAGAGATTTTAATTAAAATATTATGCTTATTAAGTAGTAAATGCTATAGAACTGCCAAACAGAACTTCTGAGCTAACAAAACACAGAAGACTGTTGATGTTCTGTGATTCTGACCCTCAAGAGAACCCTCAAGTCTGTGACATAAAGTGAAATCTGGCTGAGGCTTTACTTGCAAGGACACTTGCTGTCAGGCTGGTGTGCAGAGCCAGAGGTTGTCCAGGACCTGACACGGTGGTCACCTACCCTGCTTCCCATAGCATGAAGGAATCCCAGCTCTATTAAGCTGTAATTTTGTGGTTATGGACAAGATTCTAATTCTTCAGGTTTACTTCCTTCTGTTGAATAACTGAATCTTCTCAGAGGAGTGTTGTTGTTTTCTGTTTGCTCATTATTAGAAGGTGGGAAGAGAAAGTTATCTAGGTGTTGAAGTGAGTTCTGAGAGGCTTTGTGGGTCCTAAATCAACTAGTGTAGGCTCAGACAAGGGGTAAACAGGAGAAATGAGATCTGTAATTGAATGTAGCAGATGAGAGGTCCAGAAGTCTGTGGGCAGAACGGAAGCAGCTGTGTCAACAATGCAGCCTGCCTCCTAACCCACTGGCCCTCAGCACTAAGCTTAGCAGGTTCTGCTGGAGGCCCATCCCACTTATCATCCAGTGGACTTTTGAATGTCATACATATTATGTGCTAGGGTTATATCAGTTAAAAAACAGAATTTCCTGTCTGCATGGAGCTATGAAGGCAACCTCAAGGACTTTAAGCAGAGGAATAGCAAAATGATACAATTTGCATTTTATAAAGAGCTCTCCAATTCTTTATACATTCTTGCATTATTTGTCTTGTTTAAGCATGTACCAGTTTTGTAATTTGAAAAACATCAAAGAAAGAAAAGGGCTCCTGCTAGCAATGTAGAGCAGAGCTTGGAGGACAGGCAGGGGGACTGCTTAGGAGACTGTTGTCATCAGGAACACAGGGGAGAAGTGAAAAAGGGGTGAAAGCAGGTAACATCAAAGGGAATGGAGAGGAGTAAAGAGACGCAAATGATGTTACCACAGTGACATCAATAAGGAAACTTAACTGTAGGTCACAGAAAAAGGTAAACAGGAGAACTTCCAAATATGGGGCTTGGGTAGATATTCAAGAGGGATTTATAAACATACAAAAAGGGTGGGATACAAAATTTTATATATTAGGTGAACACTGCATATATTACTTGGTTTATAAAAATATGCACAGGAAATTCATCAAAACGTTAGCAATGGTTGGCTCTGCATGGGAGGTCAAGCTTTTTCTTTTTTTTAACTCATTCTTTCCTACATCTTATAAATTTATTAAGAATGTGTACTTTTTTGTACATTTTATATTTTTGAAGCACGTCATTTCAAAAAGCAGTTTACCTTTATTAATAAGAACTCTATGGTTGTAAAACTCCCATGAGAAAAATTGGTCAC